ACACTTCCTTGTTTTATTTTTATCATCAAAAGTCTATTTAAACTAACATTGTTATTATCAATTATACAGTAAAGCTTAGGAAGAAATCATCTCCATAGTAATCCACAGGTAAAAATGCCCAGTGGGAAGGGATATTCCATGAGATGAACACATTACATTATAGGCAGTGGGGAATTCTGCACACCCATTCACAACAAACCAGATACTAGAAAAAGATGACAGCAGCAAACAATTGAAGACCCAGCAGAAGCAAAAGACATTTTGGAGTCTGTGGTCTCTGCCTTGCCTGTCCAAGATTCACTCATCAGGGATTCGCTTCCTGGTGGGCTGACACCCCAAGTCAACTGCCATAGGCTGCTCCTCTGACATGGCCACTGGCAGACAACTAATATTGTGCATGAGCAACAAGTAACCTACAGTAGCTCTACTTCGTAAAACTGTGGAACTCACTTTACCCATCTCTTAGTTAATTTCTGCTAATGTGTTTGCTGGATCGTCAGTAGTTTTACTTATCACACAGCCATTTGTTAAATCCCTCTTTATATTCCAGTAATCATTTCTGGTACTGGCAATATAAAGGCCTAAAAACAATTCTTAGCCTGGCAAATCAACATCATGCTGCCTCCTACCACAGGCAGGCCTTGCTTCTTCTCTGACAAAAGGCATTTGTTTCATTATTGTTGGTTTTCTGGGGGTTTTTTGTTTGTTTGTTTTGTTTTTCAAGACAGAGTTTCTCTGTAGTTTTGGAGGCTGTCCTGGAACTTGCTCTGTAGACCAGGCTGGCCTCAAACTCACAGAGATCCACCTGCCTCTGCCTCCTGAGTGCTAGAATTTAAAGTGCACACCACCACCTCCAGGCTAGAAGGCTTATTCTTTATAGTGAAAATATTTAAAGTTAGCATTGCTAGGTCTCAGTACCTGCCACCCTACTCCTGCAGAGAACCCAAGTTTGGCTCCTAGCACCCCACATAGGTGGCTCACAAATGCCTACAACCTTAGCTGCTCTGAATCCAAGGCTCTCCTCTGTCCTCCGAAGGCTCACACAGACACTTCCAATGCAAACAGATAATAGTGTCTTTCTAGAATAGATGAAAACTAAAGGGGATATTAATATTATTTTTTATTTATGTGTATGAGCATTTGTCTGCATATATATCTATGCATCTTAAGCACTCCTCCTGCCTGTGGAGGTGACAAGAGGGCATTGAATCCCCTGGAACTGCAATTACAAATGGTTGTGAGCCAAACACTAATAATTTATCTAATTTTATGTTCATTGGTTTGAGGTGTTGGCTCCTTTGGAACTGGAGTTACAGACAGTTGATATCTGCCAAGTGGGTGCTGAGAATTGAGCCTGGATCCTCTAGACGAGCCTTAACGTCTGAGCCATGTCTCCAGTCATGAAAGCTGGGTTTTTATAGAACTGACTGAGTCAGGAGAGGTACACATTTTTATATGAAGTCTTTGTTTTTTTTTTTCATTTATTTTACATACTGGCCACAGTCCCCTCCTCCACTCCTCCTGTTCCCTCCCTATATGAAGTCTTTATAACAACTTCTGGGGTTGGAGAGATGGCTCAGTGGTTAAGAGCACTGGATGCCCTTCCAGAGGACCCAGATTCAATTCCCAGCACCCACTAGGCAGATATCAACCGTTTGTTTGTAACTCCATTTCCAAAGGAGCCAACACCTCAAAATAATGAACATAAAATTAGATAAATTATTTTAAAAAAAAGAAAGGAAGGAAGACAGACAGAAAGAAAGAAAGACAGGAAGGAAAGAAAAAGAAAGAAGGAAGGAAGGAAGGAAGGAAGGAAGGAAGGAAGGAAGGAAGAAAAGAAGGGAAGAAGGAAAGGAAGACTTCCAAGTGTGGGGAAAGAACTCAGAGAGGTTAGGCAATTTCCCTACTGCCACACAGTGAGCACAGGGAGGAACAAGGACTTGAACCCCAGAAGTCCACAACCTCTCTAAAGTTGTGTTGCAGACTCCTGGACATGTTTTTGGGCACATTACACATTTAGTCCTTTAGTCCCATATGGCTTTGGGGGTGGCAGTGGATGAAGAGACTAGGCTCTGGAAGATATCACATGTGTGGTTTTCAGAGGGACAGGAACCTGGGAGTGCAGGTACAAAAAAAGACTTTTTTTTTTTTTCCCGAGACAGGGTTTCTCTGTGGCTTTGGAGGCTGTCCTGGAACTAGCTCTTGTAGACCAGGGGGATCTCGAACTCACAGAGATCCACCTGCCTCTGCCTCTGCCTCCTGAGTGCTGGAATTAAAGTTGTGCACCACTAACGCCTGGCCCAAAAAAATTCTTTTAAAAAGATTAAAAACAGCAGGGTGAGATGTTATGTGAGAGGCAGATGTTATGCTAAAGTGTGAGGGAGACCTTGGTGGATCCCATGGCAGGTGAGGGTGACCAAGGGACAAGCATGGCAGGCAGACAGAGCTTAAGTGAGAAGTTTTATAAGAAAGAAGAGGGAGCAGGAAGGAAAGAGAAAAGAGGTAAAGAGACACAGAGTCAGAGAGAGGGAGGCAGGAAAAGTCCTGTCTGCCCCAGGGAACCACGGGGAAAGACAAAAGGAGAGAAGGAAAGAGTGTAAGTGGGTGGAGGTCTCTCTTTTAAAGGGGTCCTTTGTACCTGGGCTGACCAAGGTACTGCCTGAGTGCATTCAGCCAGGTGATAGAGGCAGGCCAGCATAATGCCAGAATCCTTACAGCAGAGGCACTCCTATCTCCAGGGCTCTTACTTAAAGAAACCATGTCTCAAACAAACAAATAAACAAACAAAAAGATTTATTTCATCTTTTCTGGGAGCACAACTAATCCCAACACCCATAAGTGAGTAGATCTCTGTGAGTTCAAGTCCTCCCTGATTCTCCAGCATCCCTTACTCCCTACCTGTGTACAGGGTGGGGTTGGCATAACCTGTCCTCTACCCTGAACTCTCCAGCCCAGAGGCTGGGCTGGGAGCCAGAGGAGGTCTGAGAGGGAGAGCAGGCGGTCATCACAGTGAGTTAGATTTCTTTAGAGGGGAGGAAAAGTGGGGAGGTTGAGAAGTAGAAGCTGGGGCCTGGGGCAGGACAAGATATTTGGGGCAAACTTGGACAAAGCCACCACCTCTGGGATTTGAATGGTGGTGGCTACTGGGCCAGAGTGGGCTGGGCTAAGCCAGGCTGGGCTGGGTTGGCTGAGACAAGACAGAGCTAGTCTGTTCTCTGCCCCCACTGAAGCTCTTGGTTTCATGAATTTTTTAGCTAAATAGGCCTTGAGTTTCAGATTCCAGGGCGCTGGGCCCAGGCTTCTGGGTTCCATTTACCACCATGTGAATGCTGCGCAGGCCCCAGGAGACTGTGGCTGGCTTTGTACACTGCACATCTAAGTCTGGAGGCCAGAGGACAACTCCAGATGCACTCCCTACTTAGGAGCCCTCCACCTTTCTTTAAAATTATATCTGGCTCATGTTTTGAGTACATGTATGGAGGTCATAGGACAACCTGCAGGAGCCAGTTCTGCCCCATTAGTCATGAGCGACCTGGAGATTACATTGTGGTCCTGGGCGAAGCAACTTTCAGTCAGTTTACTGACCCTTCCACCTTCATACCTTGGTTTTTGTTTGTTTTTAGTCAGGGTAACACTGTATAGCCCTGACTGGCCTGGAACTCACTGTGGAGATCTACCTGCTTCTGCCAGGGGAGAGAGTGCTGGGATTAAAACTTGTGCCACTAGCTGGACTGCACACCTTGTTTTTTGAAAGTGTGTGTGTGTGTGTGTGTGTGTGTGTGTGTGTGTGTGTGTGTACACGAGTGTACGAGGACCTAGTGGCCTTTGTCGCCCCCTAACGGCTTAACGGCTGTGCAAGAAATGTTTCTTCCCTAGCAGAGCATCAGGTCGCTGGCTCCTGGGAGGTTTGGGGTGCTTTTCCCCATCCTCCGCAAAACGGTATCCCAGCAATTGGAAGGATGATCTTGAGTTTAAGGCCAACCTGGGCTATTCAATAATGAAGTTGGGAAACAAAGAACAAAGTCAAGTGTGGTGGCTCGTGCCTGTAATCTCAGGACTTGTAAGACCGAGGGCAGTCTGAACCGCATAATGGCCAGGTCATCCTCGATTATCATCTCATCCTTCCTTGTAGAATAGAAAATAATACAAAAAACAGGCCAGGCGTAGTGGCGCCTTTAATCCCAGAACGCGGGGGCAGAGGCAGCGGATTTGAGGCCAGTCTGGTCTACAGAGCGAGTTCCAGGGCTACACAGGGAAACCCTGTTTTGAAAAACAAAAAAACAAAAAACAAAAAGCAAAACCAACCAACGAACCAAACTAAAATAAACGGACGTAGTAAAATGTATAGTGTGAGCGAATGAGAGGGACCAGCATCTCTGAACATCTAGTGGTGGGCACTGGGGCACGAACAGAAACCGTCTGGTCTGTGTGGGTGACAGAACCAGCTACACAAACTCGGGATTGGTCGGTCCGGACGGCTGCCTGGCGGACGGACCGAGGCTTGGGTGGGTGGACACGTGAACCTATGGCGGACCCGGGGTAGTGATGGCTGTGTGTGGGAGGGTGACCGGCGGGTCGCGGGTGTGTACGGGTGGAGGGACGGGTGTGTGAGGGGGTGGTGGGCGGATGGATAATTGGGTAGGCGGATGAGATGCTGAATAGACACACCCACGGACGCGCGGTGGGCGAGTGGACCGATCCAAGGATCAATGTCCTGGCGTCTCTTCATCCACCCGGGCATCCTTCATCGCCAGAAGAACCTGAGACAGGGCAGTTGTCACACCCCAAGTTCTGCCTTTCCCAGTATGACGTCTGCTGCCTACCTCGCGGCTCACCTGGCGGCCTCCCCTTTAAGACGCGCTCACCTGGCGGCCTCCCCTTTAAGACGCGCTCACCTGGCCGCCTCCCTCACCTGGGTGAGGGAGCTTCCGCAGGAAGAAGGAAGCTGCGCCGCCGCCTCTGCCTCTCGCCCCCGCCTCTCGGCGTCTACGGCCGCCACCATGTCCGCCTCGGCAGTCTTCATTCTGGACGTCAAGGGCAAGGTGAGGAGGGGGCAAGGGGCTGAGGGAGCCCGGGGGAGGCCGCGGGCCCAGGGCGCAGGACCCGGAGCTGGGGACCCGCGCTCTCCAGCCCGCGTCTGTGGCAAGGGGCTTCGCTTCTTGCCTCAGTTTCCCTGCATGTAAAATGGGAATACGAGCGCTCTGAACCAGTGAGCACAGCCCTTCTACAACCCGTGAGCTTGATAAATTTGCACAGTGTAACTAACTGGAGGAAGGCCTCCACACTCTCCTTGCAAGTTGCCGGCCCCTTCCGCAGTGACAGTGACAGCGGTAGATGAAAACTAGAGCCCTGTAGTAAAATGACAGGGCTGGGCATGGGCCTCAGTTGTGAGCCGACTAGGTTTGATCCCAGAACAATGCATAAACACCCACAATTCCAGCACTTGCAGGGTGGAGGCAGGAGGGAATTTGGAGCTACGTGATACACTGCCTCAAAATCAAACAGGTTCAACGAGTGAGTGAAGGCACTGGCTGCCCAGGCTTGGTGACCTGAGCTTCAGCCTCAAACCTCAGTAAGGGGAAAAGAAACAACCCACAAAATTGTCCTCTGACCACATACACCCTAGCCGTGAACCCACACCACCTCACACCCATCATGCACACAGAGAAAATAAAAATGCCTGTAAAAACACACAATGACGCCGGGAGTGCTGGGATTAACAGCACTCGGGAGGCAGAGGCAGGTGGATCTCTGTGAGTTCGAGGCCAGCCTGGTTTACAAGAGCTAATTCCAGGACAGCCTCCAAAGCTACAGAGAAACCAAGTCTGGAAAAACAAAAACAAACAAACAAAAAAACCCACAATGACAATGGGAGCCAGGCGGTGGTGGTGCCTGTCTCGGGAGACCCGGGCAGGTGGATCTCTGTGAGTTTGAGACCAGTCTGGTCTACAGAGTGAGTTCCAGGACAGCCTCCAAGTGAAAAGCTGTCTTTGTTTTTTTTTTTTTTTTTTTTTTTTTTTTTTTTAACTTTTTGAGACAGGGTTTCTCTGTGTAGCTTTGAACTCACAGAGATTTGCCTGCCTCTGCCTCCTGGGTGCCGGGATTAAAGGCCTGCGCCCCTACCACCCAGCTCTCTTCTTACTCACATCTATCCTTCCACCATGTGGGTGCTGGGGATGGATCTCAGGCTATCAGGCTTGGTGGCAAGACCCTTCATCCCCTGAGCTCTCTCACAACCCCCCTCTACTTTTTGTTTTGAAATGTTTGAGTTACCTAGCCCTGCTTCAAATTCACTCCTTAGCTTAGGAAACCCTGTCTCAAAAACCAAAAAAATTAAAAAAAAAATAGGAGAAGGAAAGGCAGGCTAGGGATGTAGTTTACTTGGTAGAGGATTTGTAATCGTTGCTCTAGGTAGGTGGAAGCAGAGGATCAGGAGTTCAAGTTCATCCTCAGCTACATTTGTATTTAAGGCTAGCCTAGGCTACATGAGGAACTATCTCACCATCCTCTCCATAAAACAAAATAGAGGCCAGATGTGTATGGGAAAGAAGGAGAGTAAGAGAGAAGAGAATTGGGACATCGTAAGTCCCTGTGCCCTAAGTTGGGTACTGGTGGTGACTGAGTTCTCTCTACCCACCCTTAGCCCCTGATTAGCCGAAACTACAAAGGTGATGTACCCATGACGGAGATTGACCACTTCATGCCACTGCTTATGCAGCGTGAGGAGGAGGGCGTGCTGGCGCCACTGCTGAGCCATGGGCGAGTGCACTTCCTGTGGATCAAACACAGCAATCTCTACTGCATCCACCCTTGCCGGTCCGGAGTGCCAGGAACTGGATCCTGAGGGCAATGCACTGAGAACAGTTTACACAGTGCATGGGGTAAGGGCCAGTAGAAATGGGGTGGGGTCTGCAGGGGACATGTCACACCCCTTTTCCTTAACCTTCCTGTACCAGTGGTGGCCACCACGCTGAAGAATGCCAATGCCTCTCTGGTGTACTCCTTTCTGTACAAGACAGTGGAGGTAGGTACTGGCCTCTCATTGGCTAGCTGGTTTGTCTTTTCTACTTGGTATGCTCACCCTGTTGGTTGCCTCCTTAGTCAGTCTTCTGACCCCGCCCATCAAAGCCTCCTCACTCTACTCTGACAACTGGGCTAGGAAGAGGCTCTCCCAGATCAGAGATCACACTTCTCTGCTCTGTGACCTTCAGCAAATCGCTTGTTTCTGTGCCTGTGAACCCAAGAGAGGTTCTGGTGTAATGGGAAGGGAAGAAAGGGATAGCAGAAAAGGGGGCCGTGGAGGTGAAGTAATACAGAGGAACTGTCCCCAGCTGAGGACACAGCGAACAAAAAAGTGTTGAGGTGTAAATAGAATGGAGGAGGCTATGGGATTTGATCAGAACAAGCTTCAAATGTTGACTAAGTCCATCTCCCCTTCCAGGAGTTGCAGGCTGGGCAATAGTATGCTTAGTGCTGGGAGAGAGCCAGATCTCGGATGTTTTCAGATGTCAGAATCTTTGTATATGTATAGTGTATATGTATAGTGAGGCATCCTAGGGATAGACCAAAGACTTCTGTAAATGTGTTTATGTTACTTGTATACCTTACATACATCCGGAAGGTTTTTTTTTTTTTTAATGTTTTCTTTCCTTCCTTCCTCTCAGCCCCCCTGGGTTTTTTTCTTTTAAATAACCTTTTTGTTGTTGTTGTTGTTTTTTAAAGATTTTATTTATTTATTATGTATACAACATTCTGCTTCCATGTATATCTGCACACCAGAAGAGGGAATCAAATCTCGTAATGGATGGTTGTGAGCCACCATGTGGTTTCTGGGAATTGAACTCAGGACCTCTGGAAGAGCAGTTAGTGCTCTTAACCTCTGAGCCATCTCTTCAGCCCACCCCCCACCCCCCGGGTTTTTTTGAGACAGAGTTTCTCTGTATAACAGCCCTGGCTGGCCTTGAACTCAATTTGTAGACCAGGCTGGCCTCAAACTCAGAGATCCACCTGCCTCTGCCTCCCAAGTGCTGGGATTAAGGCGTGTGCCACCACCACCTTGCAGAAGATAATTTTTAAAAATTTATTTTATTTTTAAGGGTGTGCTAGAATGTATGTCTGTGAACCAAGCAGGCTTGAAGAAAGCACTGGATCCCTTGAAACTGGAGTTAAAAGATAGTTGTGAGCTGCCATGTGGGTGCTGGGAATCAAACCTGGGTCTTCTGGAAGAGCAGCCAGTCCTAATGGCTGAGCCATCTCTGCAGGCTCTGGAAGGCTATTAAAGCAAAAAGTTGCTAGGCGGTGGTGGTGCACGCCTTTAATCCCAACACTCAGGAGGCAGAGGCAGGCAGATTTCTGTGAGTTTGAGGCCAGCCTGTTCTACAGAGCTAGTTCCAGGACAGCCAGGGCTCTTATACAGAGAAATCATGTCTCAAAAAAAGAAGTTTTTGCCAGATGGTGGTGTCCCAGGCCTTTAATCCCAACACTTGTGAGGCAGAGGTAGCAGATATCTGGTCTACAAAGCAAGTTCCAGGACAACCAGGGCTACTAAGAAAACCCTGTCTCAGAAAACCACACACAGACAGGAGCGCGCGCGCACACACCCAAACACACACACACACACACACACACACACACACACACTGTCTTCCCATCCCTAGCAACCATTAATGGCCTATAGATCCTATAGTGGTAGCATCTCTTGCATCCCTCCCACAGTAGGAAGCTGACTGTCTGATTTGTTCAGGTACTCTTGGGACTGCCTCTCCTGCAGTCCAGCTGACCTTGAACCTCCAAGGATCACAGGTGTACCTAGTTGTTTATATTGGAATGTTTTACATTTATTCAGTTAGTTCTTTTGTGTGTGAGTGTGTGTGTGTGTGTGTGTGTGTGTGTGTGTGTATGAGGCATAGGTGTGCAGATCAGAGGACAGCAGGCCTTCCAGCACATGGGTTCCAGGGTCATCAGGTTTGGTAACAAGTGACTTTTCCTGCTGAGCCATCTCTCTCTAGTTTGTTTTGTTTTGATGTTGGTTTTTCCTGTACTAGAGAATTACATCTACTCATTCTGTTTTACTTTTTTTGTTTGTTTTTTTGTTTTATCGAGACAGGGTTTCTCTGTATAGTTTTGGAGCCTATCCTGGCACTTGCATTGGAGACCAGGCTGGCCTCGAACTCACAGAGATCCGCCTGCCTCTGCCTCCCGAGTGCTGGGATTAAAGGAGTGTGCCACCAATGCCCAGCCAGAACACAGATTTTTAAATATTTAAGATATACACTTTATTGAAGGTTTACATACTTTTAATTTTATGTATATGTGTGTTTTGCCTGTATATATGTCTGTGTACCTCATGTGTGCAGTACCCATAGAGGCCTGAATGGAATGTTGGATCTCCTAGGACTGGAGTACAGACAGTTATGTGTCTTGGTGCTGGGAATTGAACATAGGACATGGGTTCCCTGCAAGAGCAGCCAGTGCTCTTAACCACTGAGCATCTCTCAGGCCCACACTTTTGTTTGTTTTGTTTGTTGAAGCAGAGACTCTCTATTTAGTCTTGGCTGTCCTGGAACTCACTATATAGATCAGACTGGCCTTGAACTCAGCAAGACCCACTTGTCTCTTCCTCCTCAGTGCTGGGATTAAAGACATGAACCACCATACCTGGCCTCCACACTTTTAAAAAAAATTTTTAGGGAATGTAAGATGGATCAGACCTCTCATTCTAGAGCTTTGAAGGCTATAGCAAAAGGATGGAAAGTTAATGGCCATCCTAGGCTCCATAGCCAGACCCTGTCTCAAAAAACAGTCTGGAGTGTGGCTATTTAGTGGAGCCCCTGTATAGAATCCCCCAGTGAAGGGCAGGGGTGTGGCTCTTCAGTAAAGCCCCTGCATAGAATTCCCCAGTGAGGGACTGGAGAGTGGCTCATTTGTAGTCTTGATCTGTAGCCAGGTGTTTGTTCCCTCCAATCCCTGTACCACACCCATACCCAGAAAATCCATTTTAAACCCTCTCTAGCTGTCTGTCAAGATTCTTCAAGGTGTGGGTTTCCACTTCTGTTTTCCTCCTTCCCATCTGACATGTTGGATATGATTGATGATCACTTTTCCTCATTAAATTGCTCCATGGGAGAAAGCCTGTCTCTTTGTTTGCAGCCCAGGCACACAGTAGGTGGTCCATAACTGCTTACTGGCTGGCTGAGTGTGTTCCCTGGGACCCCATGCCCAGGTCTTCTGTGAGTATTTTAAGGAGCTGGAAGAGGAGAGCATCCGAGATAACTTTGTCATTGTGTACGAGCTGCTGGATGAGCTCATGGACTTCGGCTTTCCGCAGACCACGGACAGCAAGATCCTGCAGGAGTGAGTGCGGGGAGGGCGCCTGTGACCACGAGTCTGGTCCCTCCAGGTGTCCCTGATTTAGCTGTAGAGTCTCACTGTTCTTTCCAATAGGTACATCACACAACAGGGCAACAAACTGGAGACGGGCAAGTCTCGAGTGCCACCCACAGTCACCAATGCTGTGTCATGGCGCTCTGAGGGGATCAAGTACAAAAAGAACGAGGTCTTCATTGATGTCATAGAATCTGTTAACCTTCTGGTGAGCTTCATGTCCTGGGGGCAAGAGCGGGAACTCTGTACCTGTTGACACCCCATATTGGGACACCCCCTTTGCAGGTCAATGCTAATGGCAGTGTCTTGCTCAGCGAGATTGTGGGCACCATCAAGCTGAAGGTGTTTTTGTCTGGGATGCCAGAGCTGCGGCTGGGCCTCAATGACAGAGTGCTCTTTGAGCTTACTGGCCGTAAGATTGTGGGGGATCCCCTTCCCAGGGATGGGCTAGAAAACAACTAGAGGCCTCCTAGGCTTCAGCCAGTTCTAAGATAAGTGTTCACATGCCCTCTGATAATTGAGCCTTGTGTCTCAGCAGCAAAGTTCACCTAGAAAATGCTTTCTTTGTTAATGAGAGCTGGCTGCTGACCAAGCCAGTTTCTGGCCTTGACATTCTAGTGGAAGGAGACAGGTTAATAGTATTTGAACATCTCACAGAGACAGGCATAGTAATCCATGCTGTAATGTCAGCACTCTGGAGGCTGAGGCAGGAGGGTTAAGAGTTCAATGTCATGAGAAGTGGGCAGAGACAGATGGTTGATTCACTAGGAATTCCAAGGGGGCCAGTTTAGCCTAATCAGCAAGTTCCAGGCCAAAGGAGAAATGCTGTCTCAGGAAAAGAAATAAAAAAACAAGGAGGATGACATCTGAGGAAAGATACGTGGTATTGTCCTTTGGTGTCCATGTACACATATGCACATACATATTAATGTGTGCACACACAGACACACAGACACGCACATGCACGCACGCACGCGAGTGCACCACAATGTAAAATAAAAACAAACAAAGACGAAGTCAAGCATAGTGTAATCCAAGAACTTGGAAGGTAGAGGCAGGAGTTCAAGGTAATTCTCAGCTACTTAGTGAGTTTGAGGCCATTCTGGGCTACATAAGACCCCATCTCAAAACATCACACCAACACAAAAGAAACAAAAGCAGAAATGATACAAATGAGAAAGAAAAGGAACCGAAGAATTGGCTCAGCTAGTACAGTACCTGCACACCAACATAAAGACCTAAGTTTAGATCCCTAGAACACAAATAAAAAGCAGGTATAGCAGGGCAATGATGGTGCACACCTTTAATCCCAGCAATTCAGGGAGGCAGAGGCAGGTGGATCTCTGTGAGTTTGAGCCCAGCCTGGTCTACAGAGTGAGTTCCAAGGCAGACAAGGTTACATGGTAGAACCCTGTCCCCAAAAATAAAATACAAAGAGTGGGCATGGTGGTGTTTATCTGTTCTGTCATACTGGAGGAGTAAGGCAGGAGACCCCAGAGTGCTCTGGCCAGCCCTGTTTGCCAGAGAAACCCTGTCTGGAAAAAGAAAACAAACAAAAAAGCAGGCATAGGGGACTGGAGAGATGGCTCATCAGTTAAAAAGAGCACTGGCTGCTCTTCCAGGAGACCCAGGTTCAATTCCCAGCACTCAGATGGAAGCTCATATCTCTGTAACTCCGAGATCTGATGTCTTCACACAGGCATACATACAGGCAAAATATTAAAGCATATAAAGTAAAAAAACAAAAACAAAAAAAGGCATAGAAGCCAGGCTGTAGTGGTGCATGCCTTTAATCCCAGCATGTAGAAGGCAGAGCAGACAGATCTCTGTCAGGTCAGTCTGATCTACATAACAAGTTCCAGGACAGCCAAGGTTACATGGTAGAACCCTGTCCCCAAAAATAAAATACAAAGAGTGGGCATGGTGGTGTTTATCTGTTCTGTCATACTGGAGGAGTAAGGCAGGAGACCCCAGAGTGCTCTGGCCAGCCCTGTTTGCCAGTTCTCCAGGTTGAATGAGACACCCTGTGTTAAAAGATAAAACAGAGGGCCAGAGAGAAGACTCAGCAGGGAAATTACTTGGCCACAAACACAACGACCTGAATGAGATCCCTAAACCCAGGCAGAAAAACTTGGAAGTGCTGGTATGCATCTGAAATCTCAGCATTCCTTTTAAAGATTTCATTTATTTATGTGTTTACTTGTTTATTATTTGTGGGTATTTTGCCTGTATGTATGTATGTATGTAAGTATGTATATATGTATGTATGTATATATGTATGTGTACCATGTGTGTGCAGTGCCCAGAAAAGCCAGAGGAGGGTGTCAGATTCCCAGGGACTGGAGTTAGTTATATATAGAAGGTTGTCAGCCCCCATGTGGGTGCAGGGAATTGAACCTAGATCCTTTACAAGAGCAGTCAGTGCTCTTAACCACTGAACCATCTCTATAGCCCCAAGAAGTCTAAGCAATCCTATACTTAGTGGAGGCAGAGACAGGAAAATCTTGCAGAAGCTTGTAGGCTAGCTAGATTGGATGACATGAGAGAAGAGAAACAAGTGACCTGATCTTTGGCAAGATGGGAGGGGAGAAGGATGGCAGCCATGTAGCCATGCTCACACACATTAGACAAACCCACAGCAATGTTAAGCATAAAAAGGGCCGTGGCTCAGTGAGATTGCCAGCAAACCTGACCATCTGAGTTCCATCCCTAGGACCCACTTGGTGGAGAGAGAGCTGACTTCTATAAATTGTTTTCTGACCTCCACTTGCACTAGGACCAGCATGCCCCACCTCCAAGTAAATAAATACATGTAATAATAATTTAGGGAAGAAGTTAGGGAGTTTACACATGAATCCATATAGTACATGCATACGTGCAATATACTTACAGGACACATATGCACACAAAGGAGAAAGAAGGGCCTGGAGAGGCAGCCCAGTGACTCAGGGCACTTCTTGCACCTGCAGAGTTCAGTTCCCAGCACCTATAGCCAGTGGCTTACAACCATTCACAATCCCAGTGCCAGGAGCTCTGGCACCGTGTTTTGGCCTCCAGCAGATGCATACACATACAATCATCCAAACACACAAACCTCCATCTAATTAAAAGTACTAAAATTTTTGTCATGCGAGGTGGCTCATGTGTTTAATCCCACTACCTAAGAGGTAGAGGTAGGCAGATTTCTGTGATTGGGAAGCTGACCTGGTCTACAAATGGAATTTCAGGACAGCCAAGATTACGTTAGACCCTGTCTCAAAAAAATAAAATAAAATAAAATAAAATAAAATAAAATAAAACCCTACCACAATTTTTAGAAAACAAAAAACTCCAAATAAAATTAAAGCAGAAAACAGAAGCGTAGGGGTGGGAGGCAGACTCTGGGCTTGTTTCAGCCCCCCCACCACCACCACCACTCAGCCCAGGCCCTGGGCTTCCTCGGCAGACCTACAGAAGGTAGCAGCCAGTAGGGATGGTGGGGCTGAGTGCTCTCCTCAGCCCCAGGGTCACTTTGCTTGCTCCACTCCGAGTTGCAGGCAGCAAGAACAAGTCTGTGGAACTGGAAGATGTGAAATTCCACCAGTGTGTGAGGCTTTCACGCTTTGACAATGACCGCACCATCTCCTTCATCCCCCCGGATGGGGACTTTGAACTCATGTCCTATCGCCTCAGCACCCAGGTGAGCCCGGGAGCCCAGCACAAAGGAGATGGTGGGTAGTGGACCAAGGGCTGACATCAGAGTCTGAGAACTGCCTTCTTGTCTGCCGGCAGGTCAAGCCCCTGATCTGGATTGAGTCAGTCATTGAGAAATTCTCCCACAGCCGAGTGGAGATCATGGTCAAGGTGAGCTCTAGAGGAAGGCTTTCTCAGCAGAGGTTCCATGGCGCCTTCTGCCCAGCAAGGCTCCTGGCTGGGCATGAGGTTTCTGTTTGTTTTTAACCCCCTTTTCCCTTAATTTTTGTGTGGCTGTTTTGCCTGCATGTATGTCTGATTTGCAGAGTTTGCCTGCCTGGTGCCCACAGAGACTGGAAGAGGGCACTGGATCCCCTGGAACTGGAGCCATGGATAGTTGTGAGCCTCCATGTGGGTGCTGAGAATCAAACTGGAATCCTCTGGAAGAGTAGCCAATGTTCTTAGCCACTGAGCCATCTCTCCAGCCCCTCTATTTTTTTTTTTGAAGCAAGATCTCACTGCACAATGCCATGTCTCATGATGGTGATATTGGATTAAACCTCTGAACTATAAGCTGCCATCTCAGTTAAATGTTTTCCTTTATAAGAGTTGCCATGGTCAGGGCTAAAGAGATGGCTCAGAGGTTAAGAGCACCGACTGCTCTTCCAGAGGTCCTGAGTTCAATTCCCAGCAACCATGTAGTGGCTCACAACCATCTGTTATGAGCTATGGTGCCCTCTTCTGGTGTGCAGATATACATGGAAGCAGAATGTTGTATACATAATAAATAAATAAATAAAATCTTTAAAAAAAAAAAAAAAGAGTTGCCATGGTCATGGTGTCTATTGACAGCAGTAGATGCTCTACGAAGACACATGATGCATTAATTATGTCCACCCCTCACCCTCTGGCCCCTCCCAGTCTGCTGACCTCTACCTTCCCAAGGTCCCATTTCTACTTCCATGTGTTTTTTTTTTTTTTTTCTTTCTTTTTTTTTCTTTTTTGTGACCCAGTGAGTTTCATGGGAGTTGTTTACACGGCTGTGGGTGCCTTACCAGTGTCCACACCTCTGAAGAATGTCTCTCTCCCCAGCAACTGTTAACTGTCTATCAATCCTGTCTGACAGGCAGGGCCTGGTGAATCCTCCCTGCTGCAGCTGTTAACTGCACATAAATCCTCAAGGAGGGTTGTCAACCATTTCTTCTCAGAATGACCTGGAAGTACTATCTTCATGCTCTTCCTGCTTCTACTTCCCCAGTGCTGCCTTCATAATTGTTTGCTATCACACATGGATCCTTATTTGTTTACTTATTTATTTATTTGTTTTGGTTGTTTTTTTTTTTCAATTTTATTTATTATGTATACATTTTGCTTCCATATATATCTGCTCACCAGAAGAGGGCACCAGATCTCATTACAGATGGTTGTGAGCCATCATGTGGTTGCTGGGAATTGAACTCAGACCTCTGGAAGAGCAGTCAGCACTCTTAACCTCTGAGCCATCTCTCCAGCCCCTTGGTTGGTGTTCTGCCTGCATGTGTCCCTGCAGTTCAGAAGAGGGTACCAGACTACATTGCAGATGGTTGGGAGCCACTGTGTGGTTGCTGGGAATTGAATTCAGGACCTCCGGAAGAACAGGCAGTGCTCTTAACCCCTGAGCCCTCTCTCCAGCCCCTTAATTTTATTTCTTTTGTGTATGTGTATGTGTATATGTGTATATGTGTATATGTATGTGTATGGGTAGGCCTATGGCATGGAGGTCAGAGGACAATTTACAGGAATCGGTTCTCTCTTTTTACATGTGGCTCCCAGGGTTTGAACTCAGGTTCTTAAACTTGGCATTAAGTGCCTTTACCTGTTGAGCCAACGAACCAGCCTCCTCTCTTCCCTTTTTCTGACCAAGGATGTCATCAGGGCTTCTTGAATGCTAGCCATTCACTTTGCACCAAGCTATAGTTACCATCCTTTTTTTTCCCTTTTGTATCTCCAAAAGAGATCTCAATTAGTTGCCCAGGCTGGCCTTGAACACTTTCTCTATAGTCCTGGCAGGCTTTGAACTTGACATCTTCCTGTTTCAGTGTCCAGAGTAGCTGGGTTTACAAATATCCACCACTAATCTTGCTCAGGATTCTTTTTGCCTCCTGCTCTTTCCTGGCAGGCTAAGGGGCAATTTAAGAAGCAGTCAGTGGCCAATGGTGTGGAAATATCTGTGCCTGTACCCAGTGATGCAGATTCCCCACGCTTCAAGACCAGTGTGGGCAGTGCCAAGTATGTGCCTGAGAAGAATGTTGTCATTTGGAGTATCAAGTCCTTCCCTGTAAGTATTGAGAAAGGTGGGGCCCAGGGTGAGAGTGGACTTCCATAGTGGTGGGTCTTGCCTGTACCACATGAGGTCATCAGTATGCACGTGGCTATTCATGGGAGGTGATGAAAAGGGAAGCCAGGCTGTCTGGTTCTAGATTGGCACATTCCATGTGTGGCTGCATCTGTCTTCCTCCCATCTGGGAGGTGGAGGCAGGAGAATAAAGAATTCAGACTTTTTTGTTTTTGTTTTTCAAGACAGGGTTTCTCTGTGGCTTTGGAGACTGTCCTGGAACTAGCTCTTGTAGACCAGGCTGGTCTCAAACTCACAGAGATCTGCCTGCCTCTGCCTCTGCCTCTGGAGTGCTGGGGTTAAAGGCATGAGCCATCACTGCCCAGCTGACTTATTGATTTTTTTATATGTATAAGTATTTTCCCTGTGTATAGTGTGTGCACCGTGTGTGTGCCTTGTGCTTACAGAAGTCAGAGAAGGCATTCGATTCTCTGGCACTGGAATTGAGCTTGCTGCTGCCTTGTGGATTCTGGAAACCTAACTTGGGTCCTCTGGCAGAGCAGCAAGTGTTCTTCCCCACTGAGCCATCTCCAGCCCAATCCTTTAGTTTTTTGAGACAAGGTCTCATGTGACTCAAGCTCTTCTCTAATCCCCTATATAGCCAAGAAAGGATTTGAACTCCTGGTCTTCCCCCTACCTCCATGTGCTGGGATTACAGGTGCCATCACGCCTGGTTTTTTGTGGTTCTGGGGATAGAACAAGAGCTGTGTGCTAGGCAAGCACTATACCAACTGAGTCACAGTTGTGCCCCAGCGTTAGTGATTCATGCGTACATGCCGCTGTGGGAGTGAAACCTAGGGCTTTGAACAGCCTGCTAGTGTTCTACCACTATTCTTAAATTCTGGCCCTTGGCTTCTTGACACAAGGTCTCACTCAGTAACCCAGACTGGCCTTGAACTTGTAATCGTTGATACTCCTGCTTTGGTTTCCAAAGTAGCTGGAACTATGGCCATCTGCAATGGAACCCAGCCACTGGGGATTTGATCTGTGTTCCTCCAGACTAAGAGACAAGAGTTAGGCTTTTCCTATGGGTCTTAGTGAGCACTCTTGACTTTAAAGTCTGAATGGTCAGGTCTCTATGGAGCCTGCTGTGAGGGTGGTCTGAGAGACAGAGGGGGACTACCCAGAGAGTGACGCCTCTGTGTGTCCACAGGGGGGCAAGGAGTACTTGATGCGTGCCCACTTTGGGCTCCCTAGCGTGGAAACTGAGGAGGTGGAGGGCCGGCCACCCATCGGGGTCAAGTTTGAGATTCCATACTTTACCGTTTCTGGCATCCAGGTGAGAAACAAGGGTAGGGAGGTTCCCTACTTTCCTCCCTCTTGGCCTCAATCACCTCTCATCTTACATCTTATTTTTTCATTTGAGCTTTTATTTGTTTTATGTGTATTAGTATTTTGACTGCATATTTATCTGTATACCATGTGTGTGAAGATGGTGTCACAGCCCCTAGACCTGGAGTTACAGAGTATTGCTATCTACCATATAAGTGCTGGGAATCTAATGCAGGTCCTCTGGAAGAGCAGCCAGAGATCTGAGCCATCTCCAGCCCACTTTTTTGAGACAGGGCCTCACTGTAGCCAGGCTGACCTGGATCTCACTATGTAGACCAGGCTGTCATTAAACCAACATGCCTCTGCTTCCCAAGTGCTGAGATTGGAGGCATGCACCGCCACACAGGCATTTTTATTTTGTTTGTAACCCAAGCTAGCTAAGGAATCACTGAGTGCAGACAGGTCTTGAACTCACTACACAACCCAGGCTGGCCTTAAACTTATGACATCCTTCTGTCTAAATTCACAAGATCTAGGAAAGTCACACGTCCACATGCCAAGTTCTCCATTTCTTTGTCTTCTGCCTGGGAATGTGGCCTCTTCTCTTCTCAGGCTGAGGCTCTTCCCTCTCCACCACTCACATTGGCACCTGCTGTCGGGGTATTCTCCATTCTCTTGCCCTGTCCCCACTCTGTCCTGTATCTTCCCTCTGTACTTCCTTTTTCCTACTAGCCTGGATCACTTCCTCTTTGCACATGTCATGCCCAGAGACTCCCAGCTTGTGTTATTTTGTATCCTTAAGTGTGTCCTGCATGTTTTCTCTTCACACGGTTTGTCACTTTCCTTCTGCCTCTAGTCACCTCCCCCTCCTAATATCCCCCTTCCCCCATAATGGGATTGAACCCAGGGACTGGACATGCTAGGTAGGGACTCTCCCATGGGTCATACCCCAGTTCCTCACAGGTGACTCCAGAAGGAAGCACTACTGCTGAGCTGCCTCCCTAATCCTTGGCCACTCCTTTTTATTGCCTTCCAGGTCCGTTACATGAAGATCATTGAGAAAAGTGGATACCAGGCCCTGCCCTGGGTCCGCTACATCACCCAGAGTGGGGGTAAGAGCCGGGCTCTCTGAAACAGTGAGCTTAAGGAGATGGGGGACACGGGGACTGATGACTTTGATGCTATGTTTCAACAGTACTAAAGCATGCTTAGCCCCAAAGCAGACCCTTACCATGCTTCCTTGGGCTTCAGCTTATACATCTTTAGAATGGGGTGGTTGGCCTGCTCCAAGGTGATGATAAGGTCTGAACAGGATACTGATCTCCATATGCTGCCTGGATATGGGCGTGCTGACCAGAGGGAGGTGTCTGTGTGGAAGCCATCTTGATCTAAGCACGGCAATAGGATAGAAACCAGGGCTTTACACCTGATAGGTAGGAACTATCATTCAGCCACCCCATGACCCAAGCCTGTAAGCCCTAAGCATAGTAAAATATTTCCAAGGGTGATTTTATGTGTTAGGACCCAGGATAGATTTTGTGAGTGTTGGAGGACTCTCTCTTTCCCCTTTCTCAATTCTCAGATAATCCCTGCTCATTTTTTTTCTGCAGATTATCAACTTCGTACCAGCTAGAAGGGAGAAGAAGTGGGGGTTAGATGGTGTGTGTGTGTGTGTGTGTGTGTGTGTGTGTGTGTGTGTATTCATGCTGCAACAACCCCCTGTACCTCTCACCCGTCTAGATTGGTTTCTCTGTGTCCCCCACCCTTGAGCTCTCCCATCCTGGTTTTATATGAAGAAATAAGAGGGTCTGAGCTGCCCTCCCCATCCATGAGTGCCTTCTTGAAATGATCTGCCTTGGGCTAGCTCTAGGGCTCTTTTATACCTGCTGAGCCAAGGCCCTGCTGGCCCTCTATCTGAGTTTTAGGGTGTCATTAAAATAAATCTAACAGCTGTGAATGTGCTTCTTGACTATGGACTGGGAATGACCATACCTGCTTAGATGGGCGTGTCCATTTTTTCCACCCCAGGTCCTCTGCACCCTCCCCTTTATTCCCTGTCACTCTGATCCCCTCAGTAGATACTGGGAGGTTGCTGTAAAACCTGTCAGGTGGTGGCACCTTTAGTCCCAGCACTCAGAAGGCAGAGGCAGGCAGATCTCTGTGAGTTCCAGCCCAGCCTGGTCTACAAGAGCTACACAGAGAAACCCTGTTTGGGGTTGGGGGGAATCTGTCAGTACATTATTGCCCTGCTTAAATGGTGCCCTTCCCATCTAGTTAAAAGTAAAAAGTTACTGCAGTCCCAGGTTTGGTCTGCACATCACTCCACCTCCCCACCTTCCTGCTCTTCCTCTTAACTTTTCCACATCATTCCAGATGCTTTTGACCCTGAGGGCCTTTACACAAATGCAGTGACCCTTCAGTCAGCCTGGTTACTATTGTATAATACTTTTGATTTGTTTTTTGTTTTTTTTTTGTTTTTTTTGTTTGTTTGTTTTGTTTTGTTTTTTGTTTTTGAGACAGGGTTTCTCTGTGTAATAGTCCCGGCTGTTGTAGAACTTGAATTGTAGACCAGCCTGGCCTCAAACTCACAGAGATCCGCTTGCCTCTGCCTCCTGAGTGCTGGGATTAAAGGTCTGCAACACCAATGCCCAGCTGCAATGGACTGCTTAACCTGAGCTAGAACTTTTCTAGGTTCTTTTCTCACCACCTATGCTTTTTTTTTCTTCTTTTAAATTATCTTCTTTTTTTTTCCAAGAAAGGGTTTCTCTGTAGCTTTGGAGCCTGTCCTGCTGTCCTGGAACTTGCTCTGTAGATCAGGCTGGCCTTGAACTAACAGATCCTCCTGTCTCTGCCTCCCAAATGCTGTGATTAAAGGAGAACAACACCACGCCCAGCTACAGTTTCTAACTTTAGTCTATTTCAGTGTGTGGTGCTTAATGTCCAAAATTAAGCCAGGCATGGTGGTATATACCTGTAATCCAGCAATCAAGAGGTAAAGGCAGGATTAGGAGTTTGAGGTTAATCTAGATTTAGTAACTTTGAGGCCAGCTTACGCTGAGAACTTGTCTCAATAAAAATTGGGTTTTTTTTTGTTTGTTTGTTTATTTTTTGAGACAGGGTTTCTCTGTGTAGCTTTGGAGCCTATCCTGGCATTCCTCTGGAGACCAGGATGGCCTTGACCTCACAGAGATCCGCCTGCCTCTGCCTCCCTAGTGCTGGGATTAAAGGCGTGCGTCACCAACGCCCGGCTCTCAATAAAAATTGTTAAGGGGCTGTGACTATAGATCAGTTAGTCATTGCTGAGCACCCATGAAGCCCTGGGTTCCACCCCCAGCACTGCATGGACTGAGTCTGTAATAGCACTTGGGAGTGGCATTCAGGAGGCTTGTGTATAATCCTTAGCTACATAAGGAATTGGAGGCCAGCCTGGGCTACGTGATACCCTTTTTAAAAAATTAAAAGAAAATTGCAGAGCTGGAGAGATGGCTCAGCGGTTAAGAGAATTGGCTGCTCTTCCAAAAGATGTGGTTTTAATTCCCAGCACCCACGTAGCAGCTCACAACTGTCTGTAACTCCAGTTTGAGGAGATCCAACATCTTCACACAGCTATACATGAAGGCAAAACACCAATGCACATAAGAAAGAAAGAAAGAAAGAAAGAAAGAAAGAAAGAAAGAAAGAAAAGAATTGCCAGGTGTACTGGTACACACCGTCAATCCCCTGCATTTAGGAAAGTCAGGCAGATCTGTTTGTGTTCAAGGCCAGCCTGGTCTACATAGTGAGTTCTAAGACAGCCAGAGTTACATAGTAAGATCCTATCTCAAAACACTTAAAAAAAGAAAATCATGTGAATATGTGGGTGTTTGTCTATTATGTAATATGTGCAGATGTCAAGAGCGTTGGATCCCTTGGAGCTGGAGTTATGTATAACTGAGAGCTGTGACCTGGATGTTGGAAACTGAATTCTTGATTCTCTACAAGGACGTCAAATGCTCTTGGCCGCTGAGCCATCTTGCAGCTCCAAGACCCTTTCTTTAAAAACAAAAAATAAAAAAACTAGAGCCCCCTCCTTTAATCCCAGCATGGATGGTAGAGGCAGGTGGCTATCTGAGTTTGAAGCCAGACAGATCTACACAGTTCCAGGCCAGCCAAGGCTACACAGTGAGACCCTGTCTCAGAAATTTAAAGCAAACAAAAATCGTTAGACAGCGCGCACTTGACCGCCCAGCGTCCATCCCTTTAACCCAGCAGTCGAATGAATGAACTAAGTTCCCAGTTGCATAGTAAGAGAGCTAAATGAATAGAACGAACGTTCGAGTTCTGGGAGCTTCCAACCCTCCCTCCATTCCTCCTGGAGGCGCTAAAGACCCAAGATCAGCCTGCGCCAGCCAACCCCTCTCCCGGGATCAGTTAAGTCTTCCCTCTCTTTCCCGCCCGGCCGCCCGCCAGTCGGGTTTGAAAAACCAAGCCGCCCAGCCACACCGGTTGCCGCCCGCTGGCCAATCACGAGATGCACCACCTCTCTGGGCGAGACAAACCTTCCCAGTAACGCACGATGATTGGCTGAGGTCGCCGGTAGGCGGGACGCATGGAGGTCGGGTGCTGGGCACACCGGCTCCCGCCCGCTACTCTGTAGCGAGTTTGTAAGAAAACAAGGGCGCTGTGGGGCGGGGCCTGTGGCGCGCTAGCTCCGCCCACTGGAGGCTGTCTAGGGAGGCGGCGAGCGCCGGCTCAGAGCAGACCCCGCCTGCGCCAGCGGAGGAGGGAGGGTGAGTCTGGGGAGACCCGGCCCAAGGGGCGGGTGCCCAAGGGTTGGGCGGGGTTCCCTGCGGCCTCTCACGGTGACAGGGGGAGGAGCCGGGTGCGAGAGCCGGGGTCGTGCGGGACCGAGGGCCAAGGGTCTGCGGCAGGGGAGTAGCCGTAGAGTAGGCCCCAGTGTCGCCACAGCCCCAGGGAAAGGAAGCCCTCGTGTTCCGATCCAGCCCTTGCTGGTTCCACAGCCTTGACCTGGACTGGGCTTGGGGCTGGGTGGGTTTCACAGACCACCCGCGTCACGATGCTCCTGGAAGAAGTCCGCGTCGGCGACCGGCTGAGTGGCGCAGCGGCCCGTGGCGACGTGCAAGAGGGGCGCCGCCTTCTGCACCGGGAGCTGGTGCATCCTGACGCTCTGAACCGCTTTGGCAAGACGGCCTTGCAGGTGAGGCCTGTCTGACACCCGGCGCCCACACCCCATCCTTCCTTGTCTCCTGACCCGGCTTGGTGATCCCCTTGAGGACCATTCCTTGTTTGCACCAATGTTGGGTGGGGTAATGCGGGGGGGGGGCACGGGGAGAGGATGACTTTTCAGCTCTAAAGAATCCCTTGTCTTCAAGCCTAAAAGATTCAGTTTTGCTGCAGACTTTTATTCCGTGGGTGGGTTGTGGTTCAGCTTCTTTTCATTCCAGTCTTTGCGGACAGCTCAAATTTTGGGAGGGCCTCTAAGAAGGCATTCGATCTCAGGAAGGTAGGATGCTCCTCCAAGGGATAGAGCTATTTTTTGTAGGAGTCCTTTTTAAGGGTCTCTGGTTATTTGGGGGTGGGGGAAGTCTTCATTTCTGAAAGTGATGTGGATTTTTTTTTTTAATCTTCTGAGTGCCCCAGTTACAAAAAAAAAAAAAAAAAAAAAAAAAAACCTATTGCTTGACGGCCCCATAATTTGGGGTGGACTTTGTACAGGGTCCCACTTTTTCATGGGTGCACATATATTCTGAACATCATGCCTATGTCTAAACTTTTCCCTAGCAGGGTGTTGGTGGCACACTCCTTTAATCCCAACACTAGGGAGGCAGAGGCAGAGGTAGAGGCAGGAGGATCTCTGTGAGTTTGACACCAGCCTGGTCTACAAGAGCTAGTTCCAGGACAACCTCCAAAGCCACAGAGAAACCCTGTCTCGAAAAAAATAAATAAATAAAAAAACAAAAAAACACACAAAAAAATTTTTTCCCTAGAGAAAGGGGATCCAAATTCTCTAGAGCATTTTTTTTTCTCAAAAATTCTAAGTAGTTCTCAGAAAACAAGGTTGCATTGTCTGGAGGGGTTTAACAGCTCTAGTGATCTCCCATATGGGGGTGCCCTGTCCCTGAGGGAGGCTCTTGGATCCTTGAGAGTTTTCACCCTCCCTTCCTGTCCTTCCTTTCCCCATTCCCTTCATTCTCTTTCTTCTTCATTACTTTTTTATTTATGAGACAAGGTCTCACTCTGTATCAGGCTGGCCTTAAATTTGAGGCTATCTTTCTGGCTCGTCCTCCCAAGTGCAGGGATTACAGGAGTGGTCACTATGCCTGGCCCCTTAAAGTTTTCATGAGAGTCACTTTTGGAGTTAGAGTCTTTTGTATTGGTAAATGATCTCTCTTTCTCTCTCTCTCTCTCTCTCTCTCTCTCTCTCTCTCTCTCTCTCTCTCTCTCTCTGTGTGTGTGTGTGTGTGTGTGTGTGTGTGTATGGTCCTTATTTCCAAAGAACCTGTTTTCTGGGGTCCCAAGCAGCTCCCTGGGGGCCTGTCTCTCTTGGGGTGTCCCTGTTCATTAAAGGGCCCCTTCACTGGCACTCTGGATTTCTGGTAGACCTCTCTTTCTGCTTGACCACTTTCCAGTGGG